TCATAGACATGCATATCGCACAGCAGCCAACGTTTTCCCGGCGTGAAATTCCTATGCAGCGCAACAATAGCTCTAGCGACATCTTGCCCGTGGATAACATGCAGCGCGCCCTTCCCCTTAAGGTCAGATTTCGACTTCACCACGCGGTCCACCCAATTCCGCGGCTGTCGCTCGCCCCCGTACAAGCCCGCGAGGTTCAGCACGGCGCCGTCGGAGCAAGCCATCAATTCGTCTTCGGCGATAGCGCGGGGGTCGGTCCGCTCGTACGACGACGATTCGTCCTGCCACGTCGGCGCCGTCCAGATACTGGTCGCACCCAATTGGACGAAGCGGGGCTTGTGGTGTTTGTGCGTGGACTCGTACATGTGCGCCAGATGAGAGGCTTGGCCCTTGCCGCGGAGTGGAAACGTGATCAGCACGGTCTCGGCGTAGGGTAGCGTTCTAAATGGCGTTGGATCGCTCGAATCGGGATCGAACCGGAATCGGATCGTATGATCCCTACCGGTTGTGGTCGTGGCCGCGTACTTGATTCCTTCGCGCTCGAGAAGCGGGATGAGGAATGTTGACGTCCATCCCGCTCCTAGGATCAGTAGTCCGACATTGTCGTCCTGTGATATCTGCATGTTGACCGTTATGATGTGAGTCGAAAATGATTACAGGTAGAGAATCAATGACGTGCTCCAATATGTTACCTAACCCCTTAACTTCAAGTTAATCCCCACCCCGGCGGAGTTTCCTCCGTGCCCGGCTCTACCGGTTGCACGCCGTCCAAACGATACGTGATCACGTCTATTCATAAAATCAACAATAACCGACCGTCGGATTTTACTGGGAATTTGAATTCAGGTTTGGATTCTGCCCCGGGCGTCCATCGTCAAGGATCGATTCCAGCTAATGTCAAGTCTACTGGCACAGTTCGCCCAAGAAGCAAGCCACCCAAGGGCCGTGTGCCCGAACGCTCGTTGTGGTGCTTCACAATGAGGAGCAGAACGAAGATGACAATTGGTAAGTACGAAGATGACGAGGTTGATGACTTCGATCCTGAAGATGTCTCCCATAATGACATAATGGGTAGGCTGGACATCCTCTCTTCTTCGACGAAGGCTTCTGATCGAACTCGAATTCTGACTCAGACTCAGGCTCAGGCCCGGACTCAAGCTCAGACTCACATCTTGATAACTCTTCGATTAAATAGTAGCATATATCTATCTATATGTTAATACCAAGCACCGAACAGATATCTTCTACGACACCAGAGAACTTTCTACCCTCTCAGTCAAGAGCCTTTGGTATCTTTGGTATCGTTGCCGTACAGATCCATCGCGAGGTCATTCCTAGAATAGAAAGTCGACATGCGATACTTGGTTTCTCCGCGGTACTGCTCTAAGTCTTCGAGGGCCTGCTTGCCTTCATGTTCTATCGTTCGACGTATCTCCTCGCTGCGCGGAGTAATGCTGCACTCAAATGGTTGGGGCCGCATGTTGAGTCCATTCCTATGTGCGTTACTTGTTAGTCATGATTAAAAATCTTCTCACCCTTTTTCCTTTTCTTTTTTCATCTACATTTTTTATGACCCTTTCTCGCAAATGTGGTGGTGTATATGCAACGTCAAAAAAGGGAGTTCACTTACGTGTAATCGAAAATGTCCACCTCTACGGTACTGCCATCCTCGCGCTTCTTCTTCTGGATGTTGAAGCCCCATAACACCCTAGCCACCGTGATCCACGTTCCCTGCTCAGCTAGGGCTTGTCCTGAGCAGACTCTACGACCCCATCCGAAGGTCATGTATCCTCTCTCGCCAGGAAACGGTCGGCTATCCGGATGACCAGGAAGGTAGCGGTTGGGATTGAAACGATCGGGATCGGGGAACTCGCGCTCATTGTGATGGATTGCCCAAACATTGCCCTGGATCCACGTACCCTTGGGGATCAGCCAGCCTTTATAGTAATCGTCTTGCGTTGGCGCGTGTGGCTGGCCTCCTATGATAGCTACCGAGCGCCAACGCAGTACTTCTTTAACGAACGCCTTAACGTATGGTAGATTCTCCTCGTCATCCCAGCTCGGGCTCCTGTGTGGCCCGACCACGCGATCGAGCTCTTCCCACGCCGGTACCAAAGCTTCCGGAAATGCGCAGCAGGCCAGGATGAATGTGATCAGTGTGCTGCTGCTCGTGTCGGATCCGGCACCGAATAAGTTTCCGCTCAGCGAGGATATGTCTTCCTCCTTTAAGTTATACTTGGCGCTCTCTTTGAACAGGTGCTTGGCGAACGAATCCTCGTGTCCCTCTTTCTTGGCTGCCTCGTCCGCGAGCGCGTAGAAGAAATGAAAGGACCGCTTCTTGCCCAGTCCGTACTTCCAGGGGGCGATCTCGTTGGGGAACTTGGCGAGCCAAGGGAAGGTCTCCATGAGCATAGGGAATGTCTTTCCGGGCACGTTCAGATCTGCGGCTAAGTGCATCATGGCGATGACCTCGGTGATGATGGGATCATCCCAGCTTTCGACACGTCTTCCGAATGCAATTATGGAGACGACACTCGTAGCATACCGCTCAAAGTGCTTGACGTAATCATTGGGGGCTTTAAGCAAGTCGTACGCGACCACTCGACTCTCGTTGTTCTGGAACTCGCGGTACCGCCGGACGGACTGTACTCCAACGCCATGGTGGATGAGCTTGCGGTGTGCCCTCCATCGCTCACGCTGCTCGGGGGTCGTCGTGTACATATTGACCAGATTGTCCTGGCCAGCGCCGAGCTCGGCAAAGACAAGCATCCGCGGCCGCGATGAGTAGATACCCGCGCGTTTATCAAATAGTTCTGAAGCCGACCAGGCATCATTGATCCAGATAGTAGGATTCCTAACTCAATAATTAGCTGTAGCTTCACGCACATGGCGTCGGGGCTTCGATCACCGTCCAATCCAGACCGTAACCAAGGGCGCATTGTATTCCTTAGAGAGCTCCTCGAACCATATCCACGGCTTGTTCTCAGGAAGCAGAAATGTGTTTCCTACAATTGGCCAGGGGAATGGACCAGGTGGCTAATTCTCGTCAGTCTTGATTTCTTCACACGCTTGCGTGAATAGGTATTCATGGCTTACCAGCTTGGACCTCATCCATAGCATATATGCATAGTCAATTACCAAGGTGACAACACTTATTATCACTATAGATATGGCCAAGTGCCACGCCGAAACTTGACTGAAGATCTTGGATCCGTTCCCCTCCCTGAGGCCAGCCAGGAACTGGTCGAACAACATGCCGATACGGCCAGAGATACGACGTCCTAGATATGTGGATGGATATAAATCAAGTGCCTTGCAATTTAACAAGAGTGAAGATCCAGTGAGGATTCGAAAGGCAGCGAAGCGGGTAAAACATTCGCTATATCCATTCATTCATTGAGACTCGTCTGGGAATACGATGCTTTCATATGCTTCTGCTGGTCAAATTAAATAAGCTACTAGGCATTACACACCTCGTGGTCCTGATTCGGCATTTATCCTGTCGACGCATAATTGGTCGATGGTAATCTGCCGGGGGAAGAAACGTGGGGTAGAAGACCGCGATACTCCTCATCTGCTCACTGCTTATACTACTTTGGGCCTTCCTTACCGACTCCACTCCCCTCAGAAAGCCCAGATTCGATACTAATTCAGGGATGCGGACATGTGTCAGGTGGTCGGTTTACCTGGCAAGCGAAACCATTCCTCCGAGAGAGCCGTTGGGGTAGCATTTGGTAACGGACGTATGCCGATTGGGATCATGATCCTTTGAAGGTTCTCCACTAAAGAATGGATATTCATATCTTGTTAAGGAACTGTAGTAATTATAATGGATGTAGAGATAGGTTGAAAACCTTAAGGGGTCATGATCACAACCCCCTTGAAGCAACTCGTAGTTTGGAGAGAAATGTTGCCTGTCGAGGAAATAGCTATCAGCGCCCGAAGCGTGATAATGTTTTCTTCGACTTATACTAGAAGACTGTCCATAAGACAGGGTATGGTAAGAAATATGTGTCAAGAACGTTGCTTGCTCTCGGCAAGTGCATATGTCTGCCTCCTCACTTTCTCGAACACCAATTTGGAGTTAGTAAAATACGATTCTACATTGAATTAGTCTAAGGTAGATAGTAGAACAAATATACGAGGTCTCAATAATATGGAATAATGCATTGAGAATTCATCGAACAAGCCACTACCTAGTATCTGAGTTGACCTTCAATGTAATAGAACCTTGCCCGCCGAGTCACCTCTCAGCTAGCTCATAACTTAGCCTCCAAGATTGATGCAAATAAATGGTACTCATTGGCTATCCTTCGACTTCCGCAGGCCATATAAGCACTAGGCTAACCAGCCTGTTCTGGCTATCTGACGAACCAACTGTTTGCCCAAGGGAAAGCCCCAAACCCTTTGTTCAATGTAAAAAAGCTTAATACCTATGCAACAGATATCAATTGAGGTTCGTTGCTATTTACACTTACATGGTGAATTGCAATTATGAGTACTTAAGTTTCAAACAAGGTTGGTGACACAATACGTTACAGTAGAGAATAGCATAGCTTTGTGAGAAGGGCCAGCTAACCAAGAAAGATATCAATGTAAGAGGATATCTTGATATGCCCATAGAAAACACCCTTTCTTTACCTTAGCACGGCTTGCAACTAGCCTCTTATTCGACCTGATAGATTATCAGTATCGTCACTTCCACCTGTTAGACCGCATAGTGATACATAAAGCTCCGGTGTCCTTTCACATGCCATCAGGAGGGCTATTGCCAACAGTTTTTCGGTATAGTAAATATAAAGCAGTATCCTTAGTTCTGTTTCATGCGTGAGGTGCGAGGATATTTGGTTTCAGTTACAACTTTCAACTATTCTGTGTATGTGGACTCAACAAACAAGTTGACCCAGCCCAAATTCCCAGACAGTAAGGTTTTCTCTTATCTGGTATAACGCTATTTTGACATCTGTTTCTTAAGGCGAATCAGCCTGGAGATGTAATAGTCCAAATTGGTGTAATGGATAACATTTGACTTTCCGAAAGTTGAGAAGCTCCGGAAGTGTTGAGCTCAGGGTTCGATTCCCTGATATGGATTTTTTTCTTCTTAAAACCAAACATCATCCCCAGTAAGATTCATTTATCAATCGTATGAAGGTTGTCAGGTTATGAGTGAGATTAGGTGAAGGACCCCACATTGAGCATTGATTCCGCCACCGAATATTGGCGACTTCATATTTGTCAATGTGAATATCTACTTGTTGATTGCAAGTAATCAATGAAATAAAGACGCAAATAGCCCCCAAGAGTTGACAATCTGGATAGGCTGCGGCTAAAAGAATATACTGGAGTAGTTCCCCTGAGATGCAGATCTACAATTTCAATATAATGATAATTTCATGCTGCAGGTTGACTAAAACTTACCTCTTTGATGGAAATGTCGGTTCTCGTTAGCGCCCACTTGTCCGCTAGTGCTCGTTCGCTCAACATGACACCTATCATTATGTACCTACGTACACTTCCATTCATTAGGACCATCGTTGAAATTTTATCATAACCCCCCATCAAAGCTCAGAAAAAGGTGGTGGAGTTATCGGTCGGATGGCTTCGATATAGGACACGCAATGGCGTCTTTTCGGGCTGTCTATTGGGTAGGGGGCTGGCTGAACAGCGGGTCGGACCCGCGGGTACGGGAAGATCCAACCTCATTTGGGGCTTATCCACGACGAAGGTGCGTCATCTTCTCTTTTACTTCCTTGCTAAAGAATTCTGCCGCTGTCGTTTTAGAATCGAATTTGAATGGACACGGGACAAACAAACCGGCGAGGGCCCAGGGGAGACAAGGAGATACCTAATCATAAACATTTCAATCCCTTGTCTTTTGCCGAAGCCTCCACCTTAACTGGCTTGCCGGCTTACTGACTTAGCCCTTAGCCTCCCTAAGTTTCTCCCTAGGGAGGTACCTAGCAAAACCCTAAAAGTAGGCCGCCGTGGCTCCGGTGGCTTACATGTCTAGTACCACACATAGCAGCAGAGACAGGAGAAACACTGCGTACATAACGGAATACACCACATGTATCCAACTTGACTAAGATCGTCAGGGTGCTTTGGTGCTTTCCGTGCTTTGTTTCGTGTTTATTCACCTGCATTTCTAGGATCCACCTCTAGTCGCTCGTATGCATTTCTCTCCCCTCCCTCATTGTTGTATAACACCTGTATAGTCTACTCGGAGCCCTGTTTGTTCGCTCGTTCCATTTCCCCATATCTTCTTTCCCGTCACCTCTCGTCGACTGTTTCCTGTCGTTTGCCCTGTAAAAGCTTTCCCTAGGATTTTTCTAGCTATGCTGCCCATATAGTGGATAAGGGCCTTCCCCATGTTTCCGTCCAAGGTATCCCGCCTTCTCGTGCTCACCAGCGTCGCGCTCCTGTTTATCGTCTGCTACACCTCACTGTACCTGTACCATAGTGTTCCGCCGTCCTACCCGACAGCAGACTCTCAGGTCGTACCAATTAAAGATGCGGCGCCCATAAAGGAAGAGCCGCAACCTGGTCATGTCGCTACCGTTGCGGAGACTACCATTGACGTTCTAGCTCCGGGTCTCGCCAAACCTACGTCTAGTCTGATTCCTACCATTCCCGACGAAGAATCATCTCAGGATCGGGAGCAAGTTAACCAGGAGTCGCCCGCCCAGGAACCACCTATCCAGGAACCCCCCGTTCAGGAACCACCTATTCAGCAGCCGCCTGCCCAACAAGCCCCTCCGCCAGCTGACCCGAATACCGGTAACAATGCTAATGCAGGAGACAGTCCTCACGAGGAGCTGCTGCCCTTGCCTGATCCCGAAACATGCCCGGAGGATCTGAAATTCCTGGTGCGTGCCAGCATCGACCTAGAGCTGACGGAACGAGTCCGGTACACGCGACGCTACATCCACCCGGACTTTTCCAGCGCCGTTGATAGAGATGAGGTAGGGAACGTAACGGAACCTCTTATCCAGGGCGATGTGGAAGTCGACCTATACGATTGCGGGGATGCCGTGATCCCTCCGTCCACGCCCATCAAGCTGCACGTCCCGAAACCCCACGCGGATGCGACGTTCGAACACCTCATATTCGGTATCGCCTCCGACTACGACCGCTTGAACGACTCGATATCATCGTTCGGTCACTGGATATCCGGTAGCGGCGCGAAGCTCGTAGCCGTTGTGACGGATGCGAAAGAGAAATCGCCTGGCGAGATGGGGGAGCTACAGCATAACTACAACCTTGCCGGCATCAATGCGACTCTGGTGAATCCTATCAACGAAAGCTTCACGACGTCGCAGAATCATTTCTCGGTCCTGATCGACATGTTCGGCTATAGTAGCCCCGATACGAAGTGGTACGGGCTCCTGGACGACGACACGTTCTTCCCGGGCAGCCTAACGCCGCTCTCGGACAGCCTCGCCACCTTGGACCATACCGTCGATGCTTACGTGGGTGCCCTCTCGGAGGATTTCTCGGCGGTGCGAAACTTCGGCTTTATGGCCTTCGGCGGCGCCGGTGCATATCTATCGGCACCGCTGGCCAAGAAGCTGGCGACCCAGGCGCTTAACTGCATTAATGATGCAATCGGTCACGAAGGCGACACCATTCTTCGCGATTGCGTGTACACCAACTCTAGAGCGAAGCTCGTCATGCTGCCCGGGCTCTACCAGCAGGACCTAAGGGATGACGCGACCGGGTTTTTCGAGGCCGGCCCGCGACCCTTGAACCTTCACCATTGGAAGAGTTGGTATCGGGAGCCCGTCGAGAAGATGGCCCAAGCCGCCAAGTTCTGCGGCGACTGCTTCCTCCAGCGGTGGCGATTCGGGACGGACACCGTCTTCTCCAACGGGTTTTCTATCGCGACGTACCGGGACGGCGTCGACTCGGTCAACCTCGGGCTGATGGAGGGCACGTGGGAGAAAGCAGACAGTCGGGATTACGATTTCAGCCTCGGTCCCCTCAGAGATCCTTTACCTCCCGACCAGAAGAAGAGCTACAAACTAAGAGAGGCAGAGTTGGTGGAGAACGGTGATCTGAGGCAGCTGTACGTGCGGGTGGGCGATTCCTCGGTTGGAGAACTCGACGAGGTAGTCGAGTTAATCTGGCAAAAGCATTAAATTCCTACCGGGCGTTTTTGGTTGGGGTAGCGGGGACATCATCGCATTATCCAGGTAGGTGACGTGGTCTCGGTCTTGGCTTTAGACGGGTTTGGTTCACGGAAGATCATTGGAAACAGGGAGCATTGCATACCTAAATTACAGACCTAGCTACGGTATTTGGCAAGTGGTTAGTCATGATCACTATGGTTTTGGAGTTTAGAAGAGAATGGATTTCTATCATACAATTCACACAATTCTTATCAAAGTACCTAAACTTGCCTTTCTGGGAGCTATGTTCGAGTGGTAATTGCTGCATTGATTTTAGATCTCAATGATGACCATTATGGTCATATTCATTGACGTGTATGGGCCTTGGTTATGCTGCTCGTGAGTTACTGCTGAGTCTTCATTACCGCACCGGCCACAACGAAATGTGACAAGCCAGCATGTGTATAACAAAGGCTCTACACGTTGCATAACGAACGAATTTTTAGAACAAGCCATTGTTCGATATGATAAAGCATTAAAAGAAAAGACTGCGTCTCTGTGCATTGCCTTTAATCACCTAAGTAAAAACCATCATCGTCAATAAAGCACAACCCATAAAGTCAAGGCAGTCGACTCACGCCCAGTAAAATCATGAGTGATTGTTGGGTCTGGTTATTCGTTATCGTCTCATCATCAAGCCAACCTGGCCTGAGTATTGCAAACATCTGTTGGTGACTGTGTCCAGAGGCATTAGACTTCAAACAAACTGACACAACATTGAATTTGAATAATAAGACAAGTTGCAAATACGTCTGAATGGTATCATGAAGTAACGAAACGAGACACGATTATATTCCTCATAGCTTGACAAAGAACAATGCGTTTGTTTCCTTCACAATAGCAGTTCATAGGCAGCATTTAGAGCCCGTTAAATCGCATCTGGCCATTATGGCAGCTAGATACAGCTCCCAAGTTACTATCTTTTCTCGATTTTCTCTCTTCTCTCAAATTCGACTGCAGGTTGTTCAAGACAACTGCAAACTTGCCTTGCTTCCTACAGTCGAAGAAACAGAATAACAGTCTACCTTCGAAACCACTAACACCAAGATTCGCCCATCTTCTGAGTCCTCGAGGCATCAATCCTACTTTACTATGTCTTTTGGCCCTACGTACCCCTACCCGCCAATGGGCCAGTTCTACCAAGAGGGTTACTCAGACTACGCGACACTCCAGATCGATTCGATCCGCTATTGGATATCGTGTCTATCGTTACAAATCGACGGACTACGTCAACACCTTGATCATATTCAGTACACCTTGATACCTTTCTCGTCAGAGTGGTGGGAAGCAAACGAATACATCACGGCGCAATTCCATTACTTGGCTTACGAGATTTCTGTATACCAGGCTTGGCTTGTATCATTGCAACAGGTGTCCCAACAAGTCTTACAACCGTACCTGGAACCAGTACCTGAACCATTCATCAGCGAAGAACAACTCAAATACACGGCACAGCTAAATGATCTAAACGAGAAGCTCGAGATGGCACATCTGGAAGCTACTATGGAGGAGCGAAAGGAGGAGCGAAAGGAGGAGCGAAAGGGGGAGCGAAAGGGGGAGCGAGAGGAGGAGCAGGAGATGTGAAGAAGGTAGCCATATTGAACAATTCAATTTCAGGTTGGTGACTGGAAAGCAAGATTATTAAGTTTCAAATGTTATTGTTGGTGCTCTGGATTTAAACGGGTCTGTCTTTTAATTAAAAGTTACAAGGGAGTAAAAAATGATACCCAGGAAATGGCCAAAGTGACGGATTAGGGGCGTTGTTTATTTCTTTTGAATTCATACCAGATACCTCTAGTTTACTATTCATAATTCTAAACCATAACGAACAATAGCTCTTCCTCTTAATCGAGTAATAAGATTTATAGGATCATGAGATGTCCAAACTTGTCTGGTAACTCCCCATGTTCCCATCCCCGGCTT